TCTATAATAATTAATGGTGTTAGTTTGAATCCATATCTCTACGTAATTTAGATTAGATTTCTTTTCGAAAAGAAGAAAAAATCTCTTAGAACAGCACTTTAACAATGACTGGATGAACGATTAGTCTTTAGATTGGTATAAGAAACTCTTGGCAACAGAAGGCTGCAATAACGAAGAACAAAGTGATACAACAAACTGATAAATAACAAGGATACATTTATTATTTATCATATTGTGTTTAAAAAATATAATTTAATGATAGATAAATCAAAATCGCAAGAACGTCTTGAAACTGTTTGTTCTATAAAAACTTTTGTTGTATTATTATATCCCAGCATGATCAATCTTCCACATATATTCATATCAGTTGAAATTAATAATCACGGAATTTTTGTTTGCTACCATTTTTCCTCACAAATTACTATATAATTTTTTATTAATATTGTTAAAAGTAACTAAAAATATATGGAATGACTAATAATGTAGGTGTCTGGCATTTTTAGTATCACCTCAACTGCTGTCTTATCAGTGTATTATTGCCGATTTTATTACCCCGCCCTCTACTTATGTATCATTGTGTGTTGAATCATATTTCCACGTAGTTTATGAAAGACGACACTACCACAACAAATGCCAAAGCCAAGGTTATTATTTCAGAACAATAATAATTATCAAATTTTTCTGCTGAGTTTGAATTTATGACTGGGCACTGAGTAATTATGTTAACCCTTTCAGATCTGATTTTTTTTATAGGAAAAATGAATTTCAATCAGTTTCTACAATCTGTAGTAGGCAGTAGTCCTAAAAGTCATATATGTATATTTAAAAAAAAAACATTATTTTGTTTATAAAATATATCTGTGCATTATTATGCAAATTGGGGTCCTAACGTAAATAAATTTTATGGATTTATGGATTTTATGGAACAAAAACTGGCTAGATCTACCAAAACTTTTAATAAAGAAATTAAGTTAAATCACAAAAACTAGTTACAAAAAAATGTAAAAACTAAAATGTATTTCAAAACGTAAATAACAAAATAGCAAAAAAATCATTTTCTGTGGAACAAAGAAAAGCAGTTTCTCTTTTTTTATACATAGGTGTACATGACATTTATACTTTACAGGTGTACTTTACAAAAAAGTGATACTTTTGTTACAGTTGGCATGCAAACACCTTTTTCCTTCTTTGTTTCCATCCAGTTGGGGCATATGGCATATGGTCAACGGAGTCATATTGAAATTCACGAACTGATCTAGTTCCTTCAAGGTTATAATTTTTTCGTGCTATGGGTGGTGTTGACGTATTTGGCCTGAATCTTTTGATGTAAGAAATTGGTTTGTTTTCCTTGATCAGACTTTCAACAAGCTTCATTTTAAAATCGAGAAGGTTCATCAGTCCCTTTTTGGAATTTTTAGTGTATCACATTCTTGTTGATATTTAAACCAGCTATTTACTGCAGCCATTTCTACAGCATGAAAAATCATTCGTAGGGTCCATTTTTTCGAACGAATATAAATTCTGTACACACTGATCATTTGATCTAATAGATCAACGCCACCCATCGAATGGTTATAAAGCTTTACCACCTCAGGTCTTTACTTGTTACTTGATCGTAGTTCCTCTACCATTTTTCGACATTTCTTTATCGGTTTTTACAGGAGGATTGTTGAACCTATGGCCTAGAATTGTTCCAGCGACTAATATTTTTATTTATTGTAAGTCTTGAAGAAGTTGATACGAGCAAAAGTAATTATCGTAATATAACTTGTGTCCTTCATTATTTATTTTTTCTGTAAGATGAATAATTATTATAGACCAAATACAAACCGTTTTAGTAGCTGAGCATCTAAGCCAGTAGAAGCGCCTTGATATTAAACAAAATCATAGTGATGCCAGACTTTCCGCATAGGACAAAAATGTTTACCCCCCTAGGTGTAGGTTTACCCTTTGAGTATTGAATTACAGACAAATGGCCCCTAAATGGTACCGTTGGTTCATCAATACATAGGTTTTCTGCTAACTTTAACTCCAAACATCGTTTCGTGATACAATCATACAAAGGACGTACTCTATAGAACTTATCGGTACAGTTATTGGGGATTGTCAATTTACACAGTGTAAATTTGATCAAAGTTGAAAAAATCGATATCTTTCCATTGTTTCACTAAATATATTGATATGCAAATTTTTGTATCAATATGAACAAACTGCTGGAAATTTTAGGCAACCGGATATATGTGTAAACGAAATAAACTTGAAATTTCATCGGCACGTGTATTTTTAAACTTAAGTTTTTTCTATATAACAATAAAACACTCAAAACTTTGTTTTCAAACTTTCACAAAATTTATTTTAACCTCTAATCACTACAGCTGTTTTGGCTGATTGCCTTTCTCAAGTGATCTATTTTTGGCATGCGTTTACAGTTTATAGTCTCCAATGAAATAAGTTGAGGAGGGGAGAACTGTTTGTCTCAAATTGGTCATTCAGAATTATATCTGTGTTTTTTAATTTGTTGATTTGCATAGATTCTACCAAAGATAGCCTAAGGCCTGTATTTTGAATGTGAAGAATTTTAAATTTGTCATTAAAAGAATGATTATGATCTAGAAGGTGAAGTGCGTATGTAGAATCTGTTTTTCTATTATTAAAAGCCCTTTTATGTTCTGCAATTCGTTTATTAAAGTTTCTACCAGTTTGACCGATGTAAATTTTTGGGCAGTCGCCACATTGAAGTTTGTACACACCACTGTGTAAGTGTTTTTTATTTTGGCTCTTGTTGTTTTTAATATATTTGCCTAAATTGTTATTTGTTCTGAAAGCTGGTGTTATTCCTTTATTTTTTATGTGTTTGGCTACTTTTGTTGATATTTTGCCTGTATATATAATCGAGCAGAAGGTACTGCGTTTTTTCTCTGGTGGTGGAAATACTAATTTCAGGGCTTTCTTGTGTAGTTTTTGATTTAACATTTTATTAAGTGTTTGTTCGTTGTATCTGTTGTTTACCGCTATTTGCTTAAATTATTATTATTATATTTAATTTTGTCTCAAAGTTGTATTTTGACATCGGAATTTCTGTTAATCTGTGTAACATACTATGATATGCTGCCAGTTTATGTTGTGTTGGATGGGATGATGAATTGTGTATAGTCGTGTCAGTATGGGTAGGTTTATGAAATATGGAGAAATGTTTGTTTTTAAGTCTGATAATTTTTAAATCTAAAAAATTTATGGATTGATTTTGTTCTGTTTCTATTGTAAATTCAGTATGATTATAAAGTGAATTAATATACGATAAAAATTGGTCGAGTTGCCTGTTAGTTACTGTGAAACATACCAGTACGTCGTCTACGTATCTCCACTAATATAACAACTGTTTAGATACGGAATGTTTTGAAATCTGTATCTCTAGATGATCTTTCAACATGAGAAGCCAAACACATAAAAAAGAAAGCAATAACACCAGCTTTTCGAACAAATAACAACCTAGGCAAATATATTAAAAACAACTAGCGCCAAATGAAAAAACACTTACATAGTGGTGTGTATAAACTTAAATGTGGCTGCTGCCCAAAAACTTACGGTCAAACTGGTAGAAACTTTAATAAACGAATAGCAGAACATAAAAGGGCTTTCAATAATAGAAAAACAGATTCTACATACGCACTTCACCTTCTAGATCAGAATCATTCTTTTAATGAAAATTCTTCACATTCAAAATAAAGGCCTTAAGCTATCTTTGTTAGAATCTATGGAAATCAACAAATTAAAAAAACACCGATATAATTCTGAATGAAAACTTGGGAGAAACAGTTCTCCCCTCCTCAACCTATTTCATTAGAGACTATAAAGTGTAAACGCATGCCAAAAATAGATCACTTGAGAAAGGTAATCAGCCGAAACAGCTGTAGTGATAATAGTTAAAATAAATTTTGTGGAAGTTTGAAAACAAAGTTTTCAGTGTTTTATTGTTACATAAAATGAATTTCCATCAAGTAACATTCGAATCCATCAATTATTTAAGTTTTTTCGTTATGAAAAGCATACATGCGCCAATGAATGCCCAAAAGAAGCTTTTTGGTTATTCTAAGGGACTTTCGACCCTCGGTAATAATGCAATTTTTCATTCTGCGTTTAATTTTTTGAAAAATACTTTTTAGGTTTTTCAGGATTCGAAAAAAATGAATACATTTAAAACGCATTGAACCTTTGGCAGGCGACATTTTGCGCCTATGCCCTTAAGAATAATGGAAAATATCCATATTCATCCTTTTTTGCACACAATTTTTGTTCAAAATTTTTTGTTTTTGTCTTTGTATATTGTGTCTTTAGAATTAAATCTTTGCATTTACTTCTAAAAAAATATCGACAAAGAAACAGAACGGATTTATAAAAAAACAATTAACAGAATTTACGTTTTTAGTTTTACATTTTGCGGTATTGTTTTTTATTGTTGATTGTTTTCTATTAAAAATAATATATAATCTATTCCACACACAATAATACTTTAAAAGAAGCATTAAAAACCCATTTCTACGAAAGGAACAATGAAATACTGGTTTTTATAATATCTAAACATTGCATATTGGAAATTCCATCTTTATGTCACAAATAGATTTTATAATACATATTTTTAAATTGTTGTTATTATGAATTACCTATATTTTCTCAAGTAAATAAACACTTCAGTTTGGTAACCGGCAACCATAGAAAAAATACTTGTTCAGTCATCCAACCATTTTCGGATACGTAGTAAGATACATCTGGATACTTATTTGTACCGAACATATTGTTCCATAACCTTTTGCCCTTGTGGAGTATCATAGGTATCATTAACACATGCCAAAACTGTTGTTTTCTGTCCTGAGCTTATAGTTTGTCTTTATGCTCTTTTTTTTATAAAAATATTTATATAATTAAGGCAAATAATTTAGTAGTTTTGATTTTTATACATATGTACATATCATTATTCATATCATATTTCTCTCTCTTTGCAGATGACACACAGAAAAAGTTATGAAAGCCCAACCGAGGAAAAGTTCCGTATGAAGATCTTTATGGAAAATTCACACAAAGTTGCCAAACACAACAAGCTCTACGCTTTGGGATTAGTTTCTTATAAATTAGGTAAGTCATATCAATAAAACGATGATACATCTTGTTACTTCAATCTCTTTGACTTTTTGCCTATAAAAACTCTATTTCCCCTTAAATTATTTAATGATTTCCAAATAATCTATCCTAAGTGAAGATGTGAACTTATTTGCTGAATTATTGTATTTGTGCTAGGACTCAACAAATACGCCGATATGCTCCACCATGAATTCATCTCCACCCTCAACGGCTTCAACAAAACAAAGAATCTGCTGAGGCAATCAGAGCTAGAAGACTCAGTCACGTTCATAAAACCAGCCAATGTAGAGTTACCCGGCGAAGTTGACTGGAGACCAAAGGGCGCCGTTACTGCTGTTAAGGACCAAGGGCATTGCGGATCATGCTGGAGTTTCAGTGCTGTAAGTCGTGTTTTTTTATTTTGTTCTTTTGGTATATTAACTAATTATAGGGATTAGCATAAATTTAACTTTTATTACCTTTATTCGTCATTTTAAATATCGTTCTTCACTTATATCAGTCCACTTCTATTTCGTGTCCTCTACGGGAACATGTGGAGGTTTCCCACATAAAATGTTCGAAGAATGCCCTTAAAGGAATAAACCTAAAACAGGACAAAGATATATTTTTATCGTATTTTTTTATCGTTCACGGTTAAAACTAGTCGTCTGTGTTTTTTAGACTGGCTCCCTCGAAGGACAACATTTTAGGAAAACCGGAAAATTGGTGTCCCTTTCCGAACAAAACTTAGTCGACTGCTCTACTAAATTCGGCAACAACGGATGCAATGGAGGTTTAATGGATAATGCCTTCCGATACATTAAAGCCAATGGTGGTATCGATACCGAAGCAAGTTATAAATACAAGGTAAGTGACATCTTTGAAATATTATCTAATGTAAAGGAACAATAAATTATGAAAAGGTATCTGGTGTGAACACATATTCATGAATATCGACCTCCAATAAGAACGGACCTAACTGCGTTATTTCTACACTGTAACGAATATTTTGCCTACCACATCGGGATCATTATAGGGGGTTGAAAGTTGGGGACAGAAATTATGGGGCTAGAGATAGGGCAAGCAAAATAAACGAAGCTGTTGCGAACGGCACTCAGGGTTTATTTGGAGAGCTAGGGTCGTGGATAAGTAAATCGCAAGGGGGTTGGATTGGGGCAACTACAAAAATTAAACAAAAAGAAGGTACTTTTGAATCTTCTGGACAAATGGGCAAACAAAACAACAAGAAATACATCTAGCTATTTTTACATTTTAAAAGAAATGAAATGGTTTAGGAAAAAAATTAAACATTTAATGTTATCTCACCACAAACAGTTACAAAAATTGACAATACAAAAATACTATTTAGAAGTCACAAAAGTAAATACAAAAATAACAAAGAGAAACACTTACTATGTCCTAGCCGTTTACAAACTCTAGGAGTTGGAGATATTACAAAACTTACTATTGTTACTGGGCTATAATTTGTAGTAGAAATCAATTATTACAAATAAAAAATTATCTTTTCAAACTCTTATGAAAGCAATTATTAATAAAAATGTTTATTCTTATTTTTCCTTTCAAAATTAAACACAAAAGTTAACTGATTGCACTGGAGTTTTACACAAAAATTCTGGGGGTGGAAACTAGACTTCACTGAAATTTCTGGGGGTAGAACTGGGCTTACACTTTCTGCCACACGAACAAAATTCATCTCCAACTGCCAAAAAGCCTAAATGACAACCAGGGACAAACAAAACGAAGATGGAAACAACGATTCTTCCAAACCTCACTTAAACTGCAACTTCACATTGAACTGCTACTATACACTACATTATTTTCCATGAAAAGGGACGAAAACCAAGAAACATTACGAATTTGAAGTAAAATTCGGACTAACACTGTAAGCATCTGCTTTTGACAACGGCCTCAGCGAGAGTGTCCTAATTATTTTTCCGGCAAAACCTTCTCAGCGATCTAAATGAATGTTTATTAGAAACGCAGAATATTAAGCGACTTAGATCAAAGAAAATACCAAAGAATATGCGTCTGTGAAATATAAACAAACTGCAAAATGGTTTATATCAACTCGGCGACGTAAAAGGGATCGAAATATATTTCAGTGTTTTAATACGTACGATAGGAAACATTGAAATTATTCTTTAGTGATTTAATTCATATACGAGGGTATTTCAATATATACCAAGGATATTGTTCTGAAGCTATTTTCTTGTGGCATTGTAAATTAATTACTATTTAACTGGGAATAAGCCACAATTAAAGATAAAAATACGTTTATTGACGTTTCAATTTCCACTTCGGAAATCGTTCTCAAAATACAAACAGTAATTTACTGATGAAATGATGATGAAAAAACCCTGTGAAATAAGAGAAACACTTTTATAGTTTTGTTTAAACGAATAGTACTAAGAATAATTATTAAACTTACCACATAGATACGTGGGTTTCTCACTACTGAACTTAACTACTCAATTAAACTTTGGAATAAGATCAATTTGACGGTTCGCTTCTTTTGAAACCTATTGAAAGACTAATTAGGGAAATATATATATTTTTATTAGGTACTTGGGGGAAAAGTGGTTATTTTCATAGGAAGTTTTACGTTATTTTAACATAATCGCACCCATAAGAATTTAATGACATGGGAACTGAAGTACTGCATACTTCGACGTAATAAAAACAGTCAACAAATTTTTAAAAGCTAGAAAACTAAAAAGCTACATTTGTAAGAGTTTATTTTACAGTAATCACTATTGTGGTTATATAAATATTTATGTTTAAATGTTGATTTGTAGGCCGAAGACGAGAAGTGCCACTTTAATCCCAAGAAGATTGGAGCCACTGACAAAGGTTACGTAGATATTGAATCTGGAAACGAAGATGCCCTCAAGGCTGCTGTCGCCACCATTGGACCCGTATCCGTAGCCATTGATGCTAGCCACGAGACCTTCCAACTCTACAATCAGGGTAAGTATTTTTTAAAAATTCATGTTTTTTATCTGCATATAATATTGACTTTTTTCTCTCACTGTCGGTGTGTTTTATAGTTTATACTTATTATTATTTTTTAGAATTATTTCTCTTTCGTTTGTCTCTACTCTCCACTCTCCACCATCCTCTTCCTTCCTCCACTATCCTGTTTCTCCCCTCTCTTCCCCGTTATATCCCACTCTGTGCTCATTCTCTCCCTCTTTATCCCTTTCCCTTTCCGCCCTCTTCCTCCCATCCTTACTCTCTGCCCTCCTGCTCTTCTCTTCCACTCTCCTTTACACCTTTACCCCCTTCTTTTGTTCTTTTACCCATTTTTCTTTCCTTAATATTTTTATCACCCTTCTTCCGCCCCCTTACCACCTCGCTTTTATATTATATGCCCTCCATTTAACATTTAACCTCTTTCATTTTTCTGATTCATTATTTTGATTCTTTCCTTTCCTTGCATTTTTGTCTTTCGATTGATTGCTTGCTCTCTCTCTCTCTCTCTCTCTCTCTCTCTCTCTCTCTCTCTCTCTCTCTTTTATGCTAATTTTATGTTCCTTTACTCTTTAATTTGTTTTTGTTTCTAATACATCACTTCATGATATTTTCGACTTCTAGCTCTTTGTTATATCAGATCCCTCTTATTCCTTCATATATATTTCCCACTAACTGTCCTTCACTTTTTATTCCCTCTCCTCTCTACTCCGTTCTCCTTTCCTCTCTATTTTCTATCCACTCCATCCGATCATCCACTCGTTTCAGTAAACAAAAATAATTGTTCTGAAGCTATTTTCTTGTGGCATTGTAAATTAATTACCATTAAACTGGGAATAAGCCACAATTAAAGATAAAAATACGTTTATTGACGTTTCAATTTCCACTTCGGAAATCGTTCTCAAAATACAAACAGTAAATTAAACAAATTTTGTTTTTTGTTACATAGTGAAAAATTCTTCTAATAATTTAATTTTATCTGACTCATTTATATTGACAATTCAGACATACATTATGCATTTTAAAGTAGACGACTTTAAAATGATATTGCCAATATTGTTGAGAAGCGCTCCTGGGACGACTTTACTTATAAGATAGTTCATTCGATTACATGAAATCAACTTTAACTTGAGAATATCCGTCAGAAAAAAATCATAGCATGTAATTCGTCTTTAAAAAGACAAACACATGACATGATGACAGTAAAATTCGACATTGTAAGTATTTGTTCGTGAATTTAGTTTAGCTTCAACAAACATCAAAGTTCTGATTTTATATGTTACGTTATTTAAAAAACATAAATGATGTATCCTCTATATGTTACTGACTTACTAATACTGGTATTTTCTTATTAATAACTTCCTCTTTCAATATTGGTAACCAGATCCTACTACATTCTGCCGAGGAATTTGCGACACAATTTGCCTCATTTAGCATAATTAGAGCCGCTTCTTTGATTTTTCTTTTTTTACCATCCGTTTCTTTTAGGACTACATTTGAATTATTCCATTGAACCCTGTGTTCATTATCCCATGCGTGTTAACAGATTTGAGATCTATCAAATTCTCTATTTTTAATATAAGATTGATGTTCACTTATTCTAATATTTAATGGCCTTGATGATTCACCTAAATAAAACTGATCACATTCACAAGGTATTTTATAAATGCAATTCTTTGTCCTTTCTTGTTCATTGTTAGGTTTGGTTTTGGACAAAATAGATCTCAACGTGTTTGTTGTTTTGAATGTTGTTGAAATGTTGAATTTATTTCCTATCCTTTTAAGTTTTTCTGATAGTCCTTTTATGTACGGTATTGTTATTTTGCTCATATTATTCCTTGTGTATGCTGTAGGATCTCGTTCTAAGTTGTTCTGTTCTATTCGATCGATTGTTGAAAATTCCTTATTTATAAACGATAAAGGATAATCATTTTTTAATAAAACAGATGTTAACAAATGTTTCTCCTCCAAGAACGAATTTTCGTTAGAACAAGTAATTTTGGCTCTATCGTATAAGGATTTAATTATTCCTTTTTTTACATTAATATTGTGATTTGATTTGAAATTTAAATATCTATTGGTGTGTGTTGGTTTTCTATACACCTGAGTCTCATATCCAGTATCGTTCTTAGAGAATAAAACATCCAGGAAAGGTAGCGTGTTATTATATTCCTTTTCCATGGTAAATGTTATTGTCTCTTCTTTATCGTTTATATCATTTAGGAATGTGTCCAACAACTCTGATCCATGAGGCCATATTGAGAATACATCATCTACATACCTCCACCATACTGTGGGTTTGAAATTTTGTTTAGAAATGATATTTGTTTCAAAATCTTCCATAAATATATCGGCTAAGAATGGAGATAAACTAGAGCCCATTGCTAGACCAAAATTTTGTTTATAGAATTCATTATTTAGTTGAAAATGAAAATATGTATTATCAGTACATAATGTTAATAACTCCATTATAGCCGATATGTTTAGTCTTATTCTAGTTGCCAATGAATCATCACTCTCTAATTTTGTCTTGACTATACTTAAAGTCTTATTTAATGGCACATTCGTAAATAAACTATTTATGTCAAAACTTACCAAAGTATGATTTGAATTAAATTCAATATTTGATAATTTATTTAAAAAATGTTGTGTATTTTTTATGAATGTGTCATTTTTATTTGTAAATGGTTTTAAAATATTTAATAAAAATTTTGATAGTTCACTACAAGGAGAATTCATGGTACTATAAATGGGTCTAAATGGTATATTCGTTTTATGAATTTTCGGTACTCCATAAAAATGAGGAGTCTTACTGTAATGAGGTATAATTAATCCTCTCTGATAACTTGTTAAAACATCTTTAAACTTGAATAAACGTATTTTTATCTTTAATTGTGGCTTATTCCCAGTTTAATAGTAATTAACAAAAATAATGGTAAACAATATAAGTAAAAACAAGTTTGGTCAAAAAGTTGATTTTTGACCAATTAGGAAAGATAATAAAACGATGTACTGTAAATATTTTGTTATTAATAATAGAAAAACATCGAAAAACAATTCGTTTTTATATTTTCTCTGTTAAAGCAATTTCTTTTCGTGTTCTAAATCTTTTGTTGTTATTATAGGTGTATATTATGAACCTGAATGCAGCTCAGACGAATTAGATCACGGTGTCCTCGTTGTCGGTTATGGTACTGAAAACGACCAAGACTATTGGCTCGTCAAGAATTCCTGGGGTCCATCTTGGGGACTGGACGGTTACATCAAAATGGCCAGAAACAGGAACAACTCCTGTGGTATTGCAACTCAAGCCAGCTATCCTTTAGTTTAAGTTTATATATTAATGTAATGCTCAGTTTAAACAGAAAACCAAAAAGTAGAGAAATAAAATCAACAAAATAAATTTTTAGTGATGTAATTAAAATTGTGAAAGTCTCGAGTCGTGTTTGGATTTTTTTCGAAATTAGATCTGAATGTAACTGTATTTTTAGGTTAGATTAGGTTAAGTATGTTTTTTAAATGGGTGATATTACAACTTAAAATAATAAATAAATAAAAGAACAAAGTGGGTGTGCCATTTTATTTTATTTTACGGCTTTTTCCAATTTATTAGCTGTATATTGGAGTCTGTACATTTTAGAAAAAAATTTCAGTTCGATATGTGTGGTTTTTTTCTTCGAGAACCTTTAAATTTGGTAGAAGAAAGTCTTTAATCACTGTAGATGCAAAGGTTGGTCCTAAAAACCCTAAAAAAATGAAACATTGCTGAGATTCATTGCAAATATATGAAAGTTACGTATGTTATATCTGATTTATGTTAATAGAACTGTTATCCAGTATTTCTGTAGAAGATACAATGGATATCGGATGAAACCCTTAAAATAATTGAGAATAAAAGAAATCTTTGTTAAAGTAATGTACATAGTGAAATGCTAAAAGCTAGTTTAAGAGACCCCAGCAAAGAAATAAAACGAAGATGGAAGACTGATAAACAACAATACTATCACAATGTATGTAAAGAAATTGAGAGCCACGATCAAAACAATCAGCCAATATAATATTATTCGTAACTTCTTAACCTTTTATAGTTTGACCGTGTATAATTGAAACATTGTGAAACATATCGAGTAATGTTTTAATAGAGTCCATTCAACCTGCAAACTTAATAAATCGCCATTTGAAACTTCCTAAGTGTTGCAATAACAGTCTAGATTGAATTGTATTGTAAGCTCATGGTTGAAAGTTTGTTAACATGATAGAAGCATTAACCTCTGTGCTGAGATATACATTATTTGTGTTTACTTCACACTTCAACTATTTATTTACCATCGTCGATCGAGAAGAATCAGACAAAGGGGCATTAGAAAATAATTCGATTCTGATATTTACATAGAAATGTCCACAAGAGATCTATTTAGAAAAATACGCCTACATAACAAGAGACTTAAGTCGGAACTTGACCGATAAAGACTACAGAGGAGAGAACCAACAGAGAAAACACCTAAAGAAATTGTAGAAGAACCTAATACACTCGAGAATGGAATAAGACTGACGATCAGTTAACTTAAGTATATAACAACACCACGTCCAGATATGATAACAGCAGAAATGCTTAAATCTACAGAAGAAACCGGAATAAATTTGCTTTACTTCCTCTGTAACAAGATATGGCATTCCAAACAATGGCCTGAGGGCTGGACAAAATCTACAGTAACAACAATACATAAAAAAGACAGTTTCCATAAATGCGACAACTATACAACCATCTCCCTTATCTCACATGCTAGCAAAATAAGGCTACGCATAATCAATGAGAGATTCAAAACTTTCCTACAAAGAGAAAGACCCCAAAAGCAAACTGTTTTTACCAAAGGTAGAGGTACTCAAAAACACCTTCTGAACATAAGACAAATAATAGAAAAGTCTAACGAATTCAATAGAACATCTCTGGGAATTATTCTGCCAAGGTCTATATAAAAACGACCAATACATAAAAATATTAACGGGGAGTCTGATGAAATAGAAAAGAAAAACCTGATATACTTGAAAGCGAAGTAAGACTGATGATCAATAGACTTTAATTCAACAGTCTAGTATGATAATACCAAATTACTATTCTAAAAATAAAGCATTTCAGATAATGGCCCCCCTGACTGGATACAATTACAATATACAAAAAAAAACTGACAATTACGGAACTGTTTTTCTGTTATCTCACATGCCAGCAAGATAATACTAGAAATCATTTATGATAGGCTGATATCGTTTCTACAAAAAACTACCAGAACAGACCGGTTTTGTCAAAATCTTAGTATAATTAAACAGAAAAAAAAACGGGAGTTGAATATCTCCTATTCCTGCTTTATACGCATTCGACATATAAATGGCATAATTTATGGCCTATATGAACCACCTCACTTCCTTTATAATTAAGTTATACAAACATACCACTAGCATAGACGTATATATTAACATATAATATGTTAATATAATCGTATAAACGTTATCAAAAGATATACTAGCAAATCTTATAAATCTATAGGTTTGTTCCTACAGAAGTTTCAAACTGTCGCCGACTGTCAGACGCATGCGCAATAATAATTTCGCCGTTCCAACAAGATTTTCTCTGATACCTTGTCAACAAAGTACACTGTTCCATGAAATATAAAACCAGTTTGAAATTAGTTCCTGACAGTTTGAAAAGTTTCCGAACTTTTTGCAAACTGGTAATCACAGACATGCGCAATTAGTCGAATTTTGATTTACTCACACCTACACTGTTTATTTTTAATTTTAAATAGGTACCTTTGTTTTGGTAATTTTGTTGTTTTAAGTACATACATAATATTGTATTTTAGTGTTTTATACTTTTGATATTATAATTTATAAAACAATGAGTGACAGTGAATATTCGTCATTATCCTCTATGAGCGACTCCAGTGATGACTTGGAAGAAATTGTATTGGAAGATAGAATTCGCCCTAAAAATAGAAACTATTTTGAAACAACTGTTTCCCAATACAATGAAACAGAGTTTAAGGAGCATTTTCGAATAAGTCGGCATGTTACTGAGTCCATAGCTGAACAGTTTCAAAATAGTGACTACTATAAAATACATGCAGGACCATATGGTAAATTGTCAGCAATGCAACAAGTTTTAATTTTTTTATGGTATATAGGCCATCAAACGGCTAGTTTTAGAGATGTTGCAGACCGCTTCAACATTACAATAAGTTCTTTGTCTAGAGTGATACGAAAAGTGACTTACTTTTTGAGCTACTGCTCAAGTCATATAATAAAATGGCCAACCGATGAAGAAAAAGTTAAAATTGAGAATGTCTTTCGTACGAATGGTTTCTTAGGTGTAATTGGGATAATTGATGGTACACATATCAAGATTGACAAACCAAAGGATGATCCAGATTCTTACATAAATAGAAAAGGATTTTATTCGATTCAGGTAATTTTCTTTACTGTACAGTAATAAAATGTATTTATTCTATGTTATGTTTTAGTTACAATTGGTATGTGACCATGAATTACAAATCAGAGACATATTTATTGGTTACCCGGGCTCTGTACATGATAGTCGAGTATTCCGCAGTTCTCCATTGTCTCAGACACTACAAGAAAAATGTGGAAATTATTATATATTAGGAGACAGTGGATATCCTGTATTGCCCAATTTATTAACACCCTTTAGAGACCGGGGGCAGTTAAGTAGGGCCCAAATAAATTATAATTCAAAACTGTGTGCTAACCGGTACTTAGTAGAGCATTGCATAGGAGTCCTCAAACAAAAATTTAGGCAGTTATACCATCTTAAATTACGCTCTATAGCTGATTGTGTACATTTAATAAGAGCAAGTTGTGTTTTGCATAATATTTCATTAAATGATGAATTTTTATATGAAAACAATCCTGCAGGCAATAATGAAGCAGCACCTGATTTACAGTTGGACAATAATGATTCTGATGATGAACCTGATGACAGAAATGGTGCTGCAGTTCGAAATCAAATTTTAAATTTGTTAGAACAATAAAAATTTTAAAATACTTTATTTTTTAATTATTATGATTTTTACAGTTAAAGTAACAAAATATTTATTCAGAAAAACAATACTATACATATAAATTAATCTTATGGATTTTCCCTAAGTTTGTTTTGCTTTTCAAGTAGTTGGTTCTGCTTCTCAAGTAATTGGTTTTGCTTCTCAAGTAATAGATTTCGCCTTTTTATCTCTTCTAGTTTTTCTCTATGAACCACTAGCTTATCCCTTTCAATACTGAGCCTTTCCTTATAATATTCTGCTCTCTCTATTCTCATATTTTCCAATATTCTATTTCTATTTAGAATTGGATGCTTTGTATTGGTATTAGGTGCAGATGTAGCGGTGTGGGTAACTGGAACTGGGCTGTCAGTATTCTCTACTTCTTGAGTTTCAGTCTCCTTTAGAACTACATCTGAAGTCAACGACACATTTTCAATAACTTTTGTAGCAGATAGAAGTATCTCGGGATGAATATTTCGTTTTTTTTTTGAATATACTGTTCATTTCATCTTTGAATTCAAAAAATTTTCGTCCTCTACCTGTTTTATTCTGATTATCTACGAACTTTTTGTATCCCCTTTCCAATACACGCCATTTATTTTCACAATGCGAGGGGGACACATTTATATGTAAATTTTTATTTATTTCCTTGGCTATAATCTCCCATAATTTTTTTAAATTTCTTATTTGGAGAGTTCCAACCTTAGGTTTATATTTCTTATATAAATCTATTAATACTTTAGACTGATTGGTGGTCCAGACCACATAGTCTACAGTTTTAACACTACTATCTTCAACATGGTTTTCATGGTAAATAATAATTTCTTCCATATCTAAAACAAATTAGTATTTATTATAGGTAACTGCATGATAATAATAATTATAAAGATTTACCTTCCTCATTGTTTTCCATTTTAAAGAAGAAACAATTTACTTTGTTACAGCGAATAAAATAACACAAAATTTGTTTATTTAATATAGGCAACTTGCCAGCTCGATAGGCTGGATAGTTCCAACAAAAATCACAAACTAGTTCGCGGCTGGTTAAATTCGCACATGCGTATTGTGCAGCAGTCAGAAACTGCCCCTGAACTAGTTTCTGATTCTTTGTAGGAACAAACCTTTATAAATTTCAACGTCAGTTTTACCGGCAACCAGTTCTACAGCTATATTTTGAAAATGTTTACTTTCACTTTGACGTTTCCATCGAATTTAAATCGATGGATTTCATAATATTGAAAAAAGAAGATGAGTAATTTTATGTCACAGTATCTTCCACACCTAACAGTGTAAGTCGATTAGGACAGGTGTAGACAGTGAGTTGTATGAGCCCAGCCGTTGATAATGCCGACGTCGCTACTAGTCACGTTAGGTGGAAGTATGACGTGAATGACATAGCAAGAGGCATATGACGTTGATGTAAGTGTTGTTGCCATGGTTTCACTATTTTTGAATAGTTATATAATGATTGTACCATAATGTTTTCCAAAAAAAAAACAACGACTGTAGCGAATTCTATTAAAACAACTTAAATTTACCATATCTTATTTCTCAAGAATTTTGAGTATTCACCGAAAAAAAATGTGTTAGTTAGTGCTAGTGGCATTAGTGGCAACATTGTAGCAAGTTGCAAATGGCATCATAAAAATATCGTATGTATACCAAATTTTAGAAATAGGCGATAAAAACAGTATACATTATTTTTTATATATCTAATAAACAATAAACATTTTGCTAAAAGAGAAGGTAAAATACCAAAATGGAATGGTATGGTATTCCAAATCGAAAAAATCAAAATAATATTTTTTGTTAATGGATTAAAGTTTCTCAAAGTTGGACAAAGGGCTAAACATTCTCAGGATTAAGAGTTTATTTTTACAAACACCAAGTAAGAACAGCACCTAATTATAACAAACTTTTGTTAGTGGATACAATCTCTGTATACTATTTTATACATACTAATATTTACATACTAATTTGTGATGATCCTGAAGAGCAAGATCCCAGAAATACTAGAGCTTACACTTTATTGTCTACAGATGTTCCTTTAAAGAAGAGTATTTTAGAAGGTAGGATGGAACTATGGATAGAAGATATTGTCAATAGAAAGATCTCCAACGTGCTGGGAAGATTAAATGAAGATCAGTGAAAAAATTTCTAAAAAACTAACCATATTTAGAGTGTCCCCACCCACACCCTCACAAGGGCATAAGGAATGAGAAAGAGCAGGATATTTGTTGTTTGTTGCTAATATTATACCAAAGAAAATTATACAAATAAACAAGTATTAGGATATCTGTGTTTTATTTTGTTGTTTTCGGGACCTTGGTTTGTTAATGTAATGGAAAACAGATATAGTCATGAAATAATCAATAAAACTTTCCTGTACCATAATATATATAGGTACTCTCTCTGTTTGATATTATGTTATATCGTTGATTGAATAATCCAAATTCAATCAAGGGTTATATATTTATGTATAAAAATGCGTAAGTGTATACTATTTTTGGACAATAGCTTTTGGCATATAATTTTAGTAATTAGTAATAATTAGTTTTTATTTCTAATTTTATTACTATATTTTTCATTAAAAGTAAACTTTTTGAGTTTTGCCGCCTAAAAGTCAGAGCATATTTTTTGAATTTGTCCCATAAAATTCAGAACCTACGTTTTAAATTTGCCACCAAATGAAATTAGTTTTGGCCCGTCCGCATGTGGCGTTAGAAACTCTCTTAAATCCTTTGTATGGGACTTACCTTACTAGAGGGCTATGTGCTCTGCTTATTCTGTTTTAGGTTAGGTTTTCTTTGTCAAAATGTCGAAAGCCTATGATTTAGGTCCTTCTGAAATTAAAGTTTTAGAAGCAAAAGCTCAAAGGAGGGCAGATTTGCGACAACAATTCTTAAAACTAAAATCAAATCCTTTTATCCATGCATCCGGAGAGGGTGGCACAGTGGTAAGCTTATTTTTTGGTTAGAAATACAGATGTTATGTCATCATAGGTGTCAAGAATAACATTGGGTATTTAGTGTATTTGTTGAAACCTAGCTTCTGTTTTTTTGTATTAAATAGAAACATTTGTATAGTATAGTGTACAGTCCTTATAAATATCAATTATAAGCACTAGACACTCAATGCTAACTTAATTCTGTACAGATAATTGAGAATTTAAAGCTTTTTTACAAAATGAAAATTTGCACCATTATTTTAGATATAATTTCTGCTATATAATATGAGTTCTTATTTAATACCTACTTTGATTGGTATTTATATTTTAGTTTGATCCGGCCATGCTAAGGTATCAAGCTCTGCAGGTCAGTGGTGTGAATCACTTTAAAGCAAACAGAAAAACTGGTTTCTATGGTTTAGTCGGTTTTTGCTTACCCTTAGCAGGATATTTCTACCTTATGAATAGCACCAAGTTGAATCAAGAAGCAAAACTAAGAAGAGGTGAAGTAGCATACAAGGATCGTAACTTCAAATTTATTTAAACTGTGCATATTTTTTTAACCTATTAGGGGAACTAAAAACATTGTAGTAATTTTTAAGTGTAAATATAAACTGTAAATCAATAATGTGTTTTATTAGTTGTCAAATTTGTACTCTAGTGAAAAAAGAAAGTACATAATTGTAAAATATGTTATTCTTACCGTGAAGAAAACCTTCATATCTCTACAAAGTCAAGTTTAATAAACTGAAGAACCTATACACAATAGAAGCTAAATATTGTACACTCATCACAGTTATATTTAGCAATACTTTGAGTATGCAAATGCAAAATGTTCACTCCATCTTAATTGTTCAACATCTGACACAATTGCCTTTTAGCTCCAATGATTTCTCTTATTTGATCGTTTTTAACCCTGTCTTGTCATGAGAATATGCTTGATTTCCACCATACATCCTGTCAATCCTCCCCAAGAATAGTGGTATTTACCAATCTATTCCTGAGCATAGATCCTATTCAATTTAAACATATATCCTTGACTTTTTTCTGTTTTAGGCATTGGTTATTGATGTTATTGAAGTGTTTTGAAAAGCCCCTCTATTTTCAAAAAAGGTTCCCAGCACCACATCTTTATTTTCAATTGTGTTCTCTACTTTTTTGACCAGTTCTGTGGAGTACTGTCTTGTTTGCATTCTCTAATTTATAGGTATGTTGTTCTTGATGTATTGGAGGGTGTATCAATGTTTCATCCCTAATATACCCATCGAGCAGTTTCTCTAATGTGTTCTGTAAGAATGACATTATTGGTCTTAGAGACTTTTCCTGTCCTCCTGACCCGGTTTAAGGATGAAAGTTACTCTAATCTTTCTCCATGCTTTAGGTATGTACTCAAAGGCTACACTACTTGTTAGTACATTCAGTACCTACATTGCATATTCTGCTGTACAAAAGTTCCGGTTCCTTTCATAATACCACATGCTACTTTTTCACTTTTCAATCTTTTTGACTGTCTGTCAGTTAGTTCTTGAGGACCTCTCCAGAGCCTCGTTGCCTACTGTTTCCCAGTCAATTGGTGATTCAACTATGTGTGATCCACGGAAGTGTACTCTGAAGAGTTCTTCAACTTATGAGTGAGTCAATTGGTTGTTTTTCTCCTTTGAAAGCACCTTTTGATGTCTAGCACAAGCATGAGTGCCTTCAATTTCCTAACAGTGCTTCCTCCATGTGTCCCTCTTGGCTTCTCTTATAGCTGTATAGTATTCCGTCCGTGTGGTTTTATACTATCCCCACTCCCTGGTTACTTTGGCTCTGTTGAATAGCTTTCTTATCCTTTTCCTCAACACAGACAGTTCTTTATTCTACCAACCACCAAGAGAGACTATTATTATTATTAAAAATAGATAGAATATTGAAAAACTCACACATTAAAAAAACCATATGGTATAAAAGAATGAAACCAATGCAAGGCAGCTAAGGAAAATTGAAGAAACTAGCTAAGATTTAGACGAAAGAGATAGAGAAAATGAAGATAGAAATAAATGAAGAGAAGAGCATGCTATTAGTAATAAATAATACAAATAAAAGATAGAAAAACAATGAAAATCAAACATTGCAGATAGTAGACATTACCATGAGATTAGATAAAGATAAAAAGACGAAGACTTTTTTAATAGTGTAGAAAAGTCAAGCTAAAACAGCTGAGCAGATGATTTGTATAAAAAACGATTCGATATCAAAGATTAAACAAATATTCTATACTAATGACCCAATGGAGAACACTTGACTGTGCTGTGGGTTTCCTTTGACTGTGGACTTATTTCATTAGCCGAACTGAAATTACTCTTATAATATATCTTACAGGTACTCATTATATTTTGAATGTGTATAACCTATTTGATAATACTGATTTACAAATGTAATTCACACATATAATATACAAATAGGGGAGACTGGAGCTGGTTGACGCATTTTTTATATTTTTGTATCTATGTAGATGCTAAAATAAAAGATTTAGAACTACTTTTTGCTCAATATATGGAAATTTAATATTTTGCGCAAGAAATTTTTAAAAAATAAACATCTTACAGACTGTACTTAATGTATAATTTAAAAAAGAAAATGTATGTTGACGCAACACATGGGGTTGGTTAACGACCATATTATAAAGTAACAAAAACAACAAAATAATGAACAAAACCTTATTATCTCGGAACATTGGTGTATTTAAAGATCTAGAATCTAAATTTAACTTAAATAACAAATTAGGTATAAAACTAACTGCAAAGTGTAGGTAACCAAATTTTGAATAAAATAAAAGTTATAAATTATTATTTTATTTATTAAAAAAGATTTAAATAAAAACTACATGACCAAATACATATTTTGTAAGCATACTTAATTTCAGATACTTAATCACTTTCACAATTTATGCAAAACAAAATTCCAGCACCATCAGCCAAGCTTCGTGTGCCCCCTTTTTGCAACTACTACATTGTATCCATTTTTTTGATAAAGCGCTATTTTGATACGTGTCTAAACAAAAGAGAAAGAACCATTCCTTACCCTTTGAGTCGATGCCTTTAACAACTTTCTTCTTTTTTCGTTTTTTTTATTCTGCTTTATTAGGTATCTGGGCAAATGTTTCCCATACAAGTTTTATCATTATTTTGCACTTCTTCGAGAGTGTTTTTTGTTGGGGTGTAGGTAAAAATTGCTGTCTCTCGCTTCTTTCTTTTCTGTTTAGCATCCTGATTTCTAGCGGCTGCTTTTGGTAGTGGTTTCAAAAGGAACGGACTCAGCGAAGGAGAGTTCTAATTTTGATTTTGGATTGATTTTAAGTGACCCTTCATCAGGTTTGCTCAAAGATCTTTCAATACTTTTGTAAGCCTTAAGCGCCATCAAACATCTGGTTGCAGCTGTTTGTTGGATTTATTTGACAGTTTTGTAGGATTTTCAAAGTTTAAAGGATCTCTATAAAAATTGTCGGAATGGTTTGAACCTGTAAAATTCTAAATAGTTTCATGTTCTTTTACAGGCCGCAAATGTGGATCTGTATTTGACTGGTCTGTAATAAAATTATTTTCATTTTTTTTTTCGGAGCAGGACGGTCAGTAGCATATGATGGTAAAAATTCGTGATCACTAAAGATATACTTATAAATGGAGATATTTCATACACCTGACATTCCCGACATAATATTTTTTGGTGTTGCTCCAAGTGGCAAAGCCTCTCGATCAATCGCCGGAATATAGTAGGGGAACCTGGCCCAAAATGACATACTAGGGTAAAATGACACATCCGGTGTATCTCTAACTTGGCAACATGGCTATGCGCTAAGAAGTTTTATACAAGAGCATCACGTGATGCATAATTCATGTTCCAACGGGCGTCGCGATCAGTTCAGTCGTTTACTTGTTAAAAGGTGCTTTGTGCTTTATTGAGTACCAAAATATTTTGTAGGCGACGTATACTTCACTATAAAACGTTTAAAACTTTAAAATTTTATATCTCTGTTAGTTTCAGGTATGTATTGTTATTCATATTAACAGAAACATCATGTTTGGAAGCTTTGTTTGTTTAAACAAAAAATTTATTGTAAAAAACGTGTTCTTGTTCACACTTGGGTAAAACGACATATTAAATACTCGGGTAAAATGGCATAGTATGTCATTTTGCCCATATAAATTTTAATAATAATATGGTAGGTAGAATATTAATGTATGGTATTTTTCTTTTTTAGTATGGTGGGACACTACGAAAGGAAAAGTACACGCCAGTCTTGGGATCCAGTACAAATGCAAAGAGCCATCCAGGCAGTCCAGTGTGGAGATATGGGCTGGTTAAAAGCATCGATAACTTTTAATGTGCCCCAAGCTACTTTAAGAAGACGAGCATCAGACAATAATAAACGGGTATCAGGTACTAATAAAGGTCTTGGCCGGTACGAAACTACGTTCTCTGTAGAATTAGAAAGAGACCTCGTAACACACATAAAACTCCTAGAATCAAGTTTGTTTGGATTATCTTGTGATGACGTTCGTTCTTTAGCCTACCACTTAGCAGATCGAAATGGAATAGTACACCAATTTAACACAACCACTAAGATGGCTGGTTGGGATTGGTTACGAGGGTTTCGGTCTAGACACCCCGATATATCCCTTAGAAAACCCGAGTCCACGTCTGCAGCAAGAGCGCAATCATTCAACAGGCCGCAAATTGCCAATTTTTTAAAACTTTTAGAGAATACTATTACAAATAACAAAATTAATCCTACACGCATATGGAATGTTGATGAATCAGGCCTATCCACGGTTCAAAAACCCGGCAAAATATTTGCAACCAAGGGTCGGAAGCAAGTGAGCCTAATTACAAGTGCGGAAAGAGGGCAGCACATAACGATGGTTGCTTGCATTAGCTCAGTGGGGAATTATGTTCCACCAACACTTATATTCCCCAGGAAAAAGTGGAAAAAAGAATTAATAGATGAAGCGCCTTTAGGAACTTTAGGAATAGCACAGGAAACAGGATGGATGACAGGCGAAGTGTTTCTAACATGGATAAAACATTTTGAAGAATATTCCAATCCTTCTATAAAAGACAAGGTTATGCTGTTGCTTGATGGGCATGCGAGCCATAAAAACATTAATGTTTTAACTTTTGCCAAAGAACATGGAATAGTGATATTGTGTTTTCCGCCGCACTGTACCCATCGGCTTCAGCCGTTAGATGTATGTTTCTTTGGTCCATTAAAGAGCTACTATGATCAAGAAGTTACCAAGTGGATGAAGTGTCATTCAGGCAGAACAGTTTCGCAATACCAAGTTGGACGATTATTTGCTACAGCGTATGGAAAAGCAGCTACACACCAAAATGCCGTTAGTGGATTTTTAAAGACTGGAATTTGGCCCCTTAATCCCGACATATTCCCTGATTATTTATTTAATCCTTCCAAAATAACAGATATTCAAGAAGAAGTTGCAATTCAACCCCTAACAGAGTCAAAAGAAGAGAATGATAATGTTTTGCGACATCAAGATTTTCCAGATCAAGGAAACAAACCGGTTTCTACACCTAGACCAAACTCACTTGAAAGTTGTTTTTCAATTAATCCTGGTATTCGTCCACTT